TTATTGTCCCTTGCAGCAGTGGCCAGGTTGATAGTTCCAGCTGAGCTTTTGCCCCCCTAATATTCTTTCTACATGACCTAACTAAATCCCCATACTCTTCCTGAGTAGCCTGCCCCTTCTTCCAAAGCTGGTAGACTCTCCTCTTCCTCCTGAGTCCCAGCAAAAGCTCCCTGTTCAGCCACACTGGTCGTTTTCCCTGCCAGCTTGTCTTACAACACTTGGGGACAGCCTGCTCCTGTGCCCCTAAGAGCATCTTCCTGAAAAAGGTCCAGCCTTCCTGGAGCCCTTTGCCCTCCAGGACTGTGCCCCAAGGGACTTCCTCAAACAGTGTTCCAAGCAGGACTCCCTTCAGAAGTCCATGGTACCAGTTTTGCTGCTCCCCTCCTTACCTGGCCAAGGATGGAGAACTCTATCATTTCATGGTCGCTGAGCCCAAGACAGCCTCTGACCACCACACCACCCACCAGTCCTTCTCTGTTTGTAAACAACAAGTCCAGCAAGGCCCCTCCCCTGGTGGGCTCCCTCACCAGCTGAGTCAGGAAGTTGTCTTCCACACACTCCAGGAACCTCCTGGGCTGTTTCCTCTCTGCTGTATTTCCAGCAGATGTCTGGTAAGTTGAGGTCCCCCACAAGAACAAGGGCTTGTGGTTTTGCAGCATCTGCCAGTTGACTATAGAACATTTCATCAACCTCTTCATCCTGGTTGGGTCATTTATTATAGACTCCCAATGGGATATCTGCCTCCTTGGCCTGCCTCAACTTTACCCATAAACATTGAACTCCTTCCTGCTTGGGCAAAGCAGGGAACTCAGCAAGCCTAAGGAGAACCATCGGGATGTGTGGAGTGAGCTGTCTGCAATGCAAGTAGAAGCCTTACAGCCATCTGTGGGTAGTAGGCAGGGAGGCCCTACAATGCTCTGTGTGGTGGCCTCTGACATCAGGGACTTGGTGGCACTGGAGGAACATCTCCCCACCTCCCATCTGCTGTCAGAAGGTCCTGACTCAGGTAGGTGAGAGGAAATGCATCCTGTGCTGTACCCTCCACCCTGGCTGGGTACTTACATGGGGGTGGGTACATGAACTTCTCTGGGTTGTTGCTGAGCAGAGCATTCTTGATGTGGCTACGGCCCACGCCGCTGGCCCCTGCAAAGGAAGAGGGATAGACAGTGGAGCCTGGAGAGGTGGGGCCACACCTCTGCAGCTCTCAATCTGAGGAAAGGTGCAGAGCTCCTGGGGCCTTGCCCACAATCTGCTTTCTGAGATGATCTGTGGTGTTTTCCAGGCCTGGAAGAGGCTCTCCCTGTCCTGGGCCTGCTTACTTCCAGTCTGAGCTGGAGATGGGAGTGGTGCCTCCTGAGTGGCCAGCACAGCTGGGCTGTGTGACCTGTCCATGCCTGCTGGGCCCACTGACAGGGCCTCAATACCCAGTGTGGGAGTGCTTGCTCTGATGCAGCTGCACAGACCAGAGCTGCTTTTAACAAAAAAATATCCATGAAGATACTTAGGAGCTGGAAACTCCTGAATGAAATCTACTTCAGCATCACAGTGCAGGTGCCAGACTTTGGACAGTACTTCATGGAGGAGGTCAACCTGCCTGGTGACTGCTGCAGGCAGAAGATATGCTCCCAGGTTTTGAAGGGCAGTGCTACCCCAGCCCCTGCCCATTCCTGGTTCATGCAACCCCTGCACTTTGGAAGATGCCTGGGGCAGGACCTACCAATGAGCACCAGAGTCTTCCTCTTGAAGGCAGGCAGCCTCACCACTTCCTCATATGAAACCACATCCAGCTGGTCAAAAACTGGGGTGGAGAAATGAGACAGCAAATGGTGAGAGGCGGCTCAGCTGCAGCAGCAGGATTGGGTGTGCTGGACTGAAGCCACATTCTCTTTGGGAAAAATGGGGGGAGCAATCAGGACTGGGCTCTTAGCCCCATTTGTCTGCTCGGGGAAAAGGGCAGCAGCCTCAGCAGCAAGCAGCATGGGGGGTGCTGCAGAGCTGGACCAGCAGCTGCCCAAGGAGAAGCCAGGGCTGCTCTTGCTCAGTAATTCTGCCCAGGACAGTACGACCTGGGAGCTGGCAGGACGCTGCAGATAGCTTCCTGCTGGGGGAGCTTTATTTATCTTGCTAATTTATGGCCTTGTTTGTTGCTGGTTGGAGTTGCAGGCTAGGCTATGAGCCAGCATGTCCTCAGGCACCTGCCTTTGCTGGCCCAGAGCATGGGTGGCTCAGGGGCAAGCTCCCTGTCCCACTAGGGACATGGCATGACAGCCATTTGGAACAGTTTGCAGTGCTCCCTAATTGCTAAGCAGTAGCAAGGCCACCACCTGCCCTGCGTTCAGCAGCCTGTGGGGTTTCAGGCCCAGGAGTTCCATCTCCCAAGGAGCCTGGGGCCAGGAGTGACAGGGATTGTCACCACACAAGAGCATGAGAGCTTGGTGCCTGGCTCCCCATGAGCCTCATGAACTACAGCACTGCATGGGGACACAGCTGTGGCTACCTGAGGGGTATGAGGACTTTGGAGAAGGGACTCAAAAGAGCTGACGGCTGTGGGGTATTCTCTTGAGGTCCCACTGCCAACACAGCTGGGCCATTTGGTCTGACTCCAGTGGTGGACAGACCTGCTCCTGCCCAGAGGCAGGAGTGATGGCAAGGGCTGGGGATGGAGCCCACTCCCCTGCTCACTTACTTGAGCTGTGCTTGGCCAGGTATTTATCTTTGCACTTCTTCTTCTTCCCAAAAGGGCTACAGCTTGGGGATTCACTCTGACTGGACTGGGTGACACTTGCCACACGCCTGCCAAGAGAAGAGGACACAACCACAGTCCAGTTGTCACCCCAAGCCCAGGGCAGCAGCAGGACTGTCCCTCAGACAAGCAAGGGCAAGAGGAGCAGGGTAGCTGCCGAGACAGGTAAAAACTCACACAGAAGCAGATGAAAGGGACATTTGCCTCCTTTTCCCAGCAGTGATGCTGGTGTTATCCAGCACAGTCATGCTCCTAGTAGCACATGTTCACTGTTCCCACCTCCACTCCCAGATCCAGCCCTTCTGGCCAAATCCAGGGACCTACCACTCCTGCAGCTCTGGAGAAGGAATCAGTCCTGCCGACTCGGTGCTGGAGCCCTCCACCCGGCCCTGCCACCAGTTGCTGTCATCCTTGTTTATGATTTGAATCACATCGCCAGTCTGAAACTTCAGCCCAGCTTCCTTGCAGGGGATCAGGTTGTCTTTTTTGGGGTCATAGTCAAACTGTGCCCTCATGAACATCTGCAAAAGACAACGCAGGCCAATGTCAGCATGGCCATGCAGGGTGACTGAACTTGGTTGTGTCCAGCTCCCAGGCCCACATTGCATTCATTGGCAGTTACTGCAGAGCCAGCTCCAGGCACAAGATCCCTGCTCCAGGAGGAACTCCAGCCCCTGCTGCTTTCCAGGCCCCATGAGGCTGGGTGGGGAGAAAGGAGAAGCCCTGGGGAAAGCTCCTGGACATGGAGCTGCAGTGAGATGTGCTGGTGGGTTAGGGAGGCAGCAGGGTGGTATCTTGGCCCTTCTGGGAGCCAGTGAAACAGCTGCTGGCTCTAGGCAGGCCTGCATGCCCCACAGCTCATGCTCAAGCCCTGACATGCAGCCCCCCTGCAGTCCTGAGTGCTGCACACTGCTGGTGAGCAGAGTCAACAGAGCTGAGTTGTACTGGTCCACCTGGAACAGTACAGTGCACAGCAACTCAGGTCTGCAGTGAGCCACTGCAACAGTACACCCTGCAACCCCATGTCATGGGGTCCCCAGGGAAGGCCACATCTCAGTCCCAAGCTGTGGAGAGTCCCTGGCCTCTCCACAGCACTGGACACTCCCCTGCATTTGGGAAGCCAAGGCCACGGTGTCACATTCAGCCCTGCCTGAGTCTGTCCTGGCCTCTTCTGCATCAGCCACTCTTGCAACATTAAATTCACCACAGCTGCAACTGGACATGAGCTGTTTCTGCTTCCAAAGCCACTGTGCCACCCTCCTGGGGCTGGGGAAGCTCTGGGGACCAGAAATGCATAAGAAAGTAGCCTGTGCCTTCTGCTTGCTCAGCTCTTTGGGAAGGAGTCTACAGGGCCTGCTCCCGCTGGGGCAGCCCATCCCGCTGCCTCCCCCTGGCCCCAGCCCTCCTGAATCCAGCAGGCAGCGGGCACCCCGGGGCTCTCACTGCTCCCAGACACCTTTGCAAAGGCCAGGGGAGAAACAGCATGTTGCTTTTGCACACAGACCTGGTTTTCCAAGAAGGCTGTTCAGGACAAACAGACATCAGAGAGCAACAGGATCAATGAGAGTCACCTACCCCTGGGATGAGGACAAACCATACAAGTGCACCCAGCAATTTTGGCACTGCCACTTGCTCTCAGTGCCTGGATGAATGATTTCTTGACTGAAATGCTGCTGCATCTCTGGCCACTGTACCTGGGAAGATCAGGTCAGGACAAGGTGGTGGTGGGAAAGCCAAGGCAGGCTATGGAGGATGGGGAGTGAAAAGCAGGGTTTATGGAACTATAAGGCTGTGGTGAGGCACAGACTGCACGATGCTCTTGTTCCCCTCCTGGTGTGGTGCTTTTTTCTTTGTTTTTTTTTTGGGTCTGTCTTGTGGACCTCAGGCTGCTGGGAGTTCCCAGTCAGGATGCAAAGCCCCAAGCCGGCAGCATGCCTGGCACTGCCCAGCAGTTGTGTCACCAGCAGGAGATCCTTCTACAGGGGATGCAGCACTATTAGACTCAGCCTCATGGTTGTGCTCACGCAGGCTTCCCCTAAGCACAACCCTCTATTTATCTCAGAAAAGTAGCATGCAGCAAGCAGGCAAAGGCTAATGCCTATGTCCTCTCCTCAGATGGTAGGCAAGGCCTGGAAAGTCATCCTGCCTGGGGAGGATAGATCATGCTGTCCTTGTTCCACATTAAAACAGTTTCCCACAGTAATGTCTGCCTTCAGCAGTGCTACTGGAGGCACAGGGACAGCAGGACACAAACATGGTTTCGTTTCACTGCCAGAAAAGCAGAACATATGGATCAAACTGTGCCATGAGATCTCTCACAATGGAAGACGAGAAGACTGAGATCTCTTTTCAGGATGAGGACTGATGCTTGCTTTGAAAGCACTCTGGCACTAGGAAGCTGGTCATCAACACAAATGACACACAGCCAGCACTGCCCAGGAACCCACCTGCCTGGAACCCTGGCAGGTTTCCATAGCCCTGCTACCCCAAGTCAGACATAACCAGGCCACTTCTGGAGCCATCCACTCTTACACCAGTTAGGAGTTAGCATCAGACAGCTTCAGGCATCATGCACAGACTGCAAAGGACCAGCTCCAACTGCAAGCTTTTTGCCGCCTATTGCCTACTCTCTTTCTTTTTGCCTGCTGCCATCTCTCTTTCTGAGGCTGGAAGCCCAGGTACTGAGCAGGCTGCAGCATTAGAAGTCCTGATCTTTGAAGTCAAAAGGCTGCAGTCTGCACCTTGGAACAGGCTGGAGGTGACCTCAAGAGCTCTGAGTTCTCAGTGCTTTTCATTAGGATCCTTCCAAACAGCCCTGCCCCAAGAGACACTCAGTTGACCTCAAAGTGGCTTGTCCAGGCAAGCCAGGGCAGGGGGATATTGTGATGCCAGGACTGCACTGTCCTGCCTACCAGGTCCTGAAATGAAGATGATCAAGGGGATCCAGGAGTTGAAGAACAATCCCAAGTCCTCTCTCTGCAGTGGACTGCAACAAGCAGGGACACGGGCAGCCCATACACTGGGGTTCCGGGGAGCAGACACCACCACGGCTCGGGACATGGGGAAAGGGAGCACAGCTGCTACTGCCAGGGAGCTTCTCTGTGTCCTCCCTGAGCCCACGGCCAGCCCTGGGTGAGACAACTGTGCTCTTTCCCTGGCACTGAGCTGGCCTAGCTGAGTGCAGCTGTCTGAATCAGGCCAGGGAGAGCAGATGGACAGCAAGGAAGGGCAGACATGGGCTAGTGTTTAATTAACAAGCACGTGCAATGCTGGTTGAGCTAGAATGGAGACAGCATGGGCTCAGCTAGAAGCTCAGGCACCTTTCACTTGCCATCATGTTCAGATACTTCAGCCTCTCTGGGTAAGGAAGGAGGGTGACATGGGTTCCACCAGCCTGTCCCAGGACTGTTCAGCTCCCACTCTGTCTCTCTGAGCTCCTCTCCCACTCCTGCCTATCCACAACATGGGAGCTGTGCTGAAATTGGCTCCTACACCCAGAGACAGGACAGCATCCCAGCCACCACGCACTAAAGTCATAGCAGAGGAGCCAGCCCTCTCTCCACAGTCCTGAGTTTTGGCCACTGCAGGACTTCAAAGGCAAAGCCAGACAGGTGTCACCCCATGACACAGCATGTCTCCTCCACCCTGGCCATGGCAGCAAGCACAAGGAGTTGTCTTCCCTTCTCCTCCCCATTCCCACCCCCACTTCCATCTTCCCACTCACTGCTGCTCACAAGCACGTCGGAGGCATCCGGATGTCACCTTCCTTGTGGCCAAAGCACCCAGGCACCAGTGACACCCAGGGTGAGCCTGGTGCTGTGCCTGGAGGTGCTGCTGTGGCCCTGTAATGGGGATATGGCTCTATCTGCCGCAGCTCTGCAGGTGGCAGGAAACTCCTGGTGTGCACAGACCACTGCCTTCCCACCACCAGACACCTCAGACATGCACCACTGTGGCGCAGTTCCAGAACCCAGGCCCCCGTTCCTACATACACACTGGGTACATACATCTAAGGTTTGAAGCAATGTAAGTACAGGACAGGTCCCTGCACCCTCCAGCAGCTCAGCAAGGTGACCAAGCAGCCATCCCCTTGTCTGTCCCCTGGCTCAGAACAGCTCTCTCCCCACCACTCATGCCCTGGGGTTTGTTCTGGTCCCACCCAGTGCAACACCCCTGTCCTGGCACAGCCCACAGGCCTGGAGGCTGCACTTACCTGGAGAGCAGGGAGGCGGCTTTGTTGGTTGGGAATAACTTTTATTGAGACCATCCCCTTGGTTTCTTTCTAGTGAACAAAGGAAGGGGAGAAAGAAGAGTTGGAGAAGGTGGTGCCTGGACAGCAGCAAGCTGTGCAGGGAGCTGCTGAGTGCCAAGACCCACAAAGGCAAGGCACTTCCATGCTCCCAGCCGTGCTGTGATGCTGGGGCACAGCACAGCCAGGCCAGAAACAGCTCCACTGGGGCTGGGCCAAGAGCTGTGGCAGCACAGCTTTACCATGCTTGTCCCATCCCCATGGGGGAACACCAACACACACACAAAGCTGGCTGTGGGCACTGCTAAGCATCACCATAATGAACATGGAGATCTGCCCTGCTTCTGCCAGGTCTCCTCCACCTGTCTGCTCCATGCTGGCCTCTCATTTGTGCCCTCCTGGTGACTTCAGAGGCACAGCACACCTTTGCCTGCCACAGGCCAGATGCACTGTTGACCCACACACTTCATGGTCTAGTGGGGACAACCACATCTGGAGGCTTCGAGGAGCCTCCTGGGCCAACTGCCCTTCCTGGGAGGCAGACAAAGATATGCTCCCCCTTGGTCTCACTGTCTGGAGCAGGGATGTCCTGGAGAGGACCATGGCACTGCAGCAGGGCCAGGCCTCCTGCTTAGGCTGCTGGTGGGTGTCTTCACCACCACCACCACCTCCTTCTGGCCAGGTCTCACACGTTGGGCATGGATCAGGATGATCTCAGTGTATGAACCCAAAGCAGGTCTGACACTCTGTCTAAAGCTGTCTCTAACAGGGCCTTGGCAGGATCTTCATGATCTTGGAAGCAGAAAAATGGCACCAAGGTGACCTGCAGGAGTGGCTCAGGTCTGCAAGAGCAGCCAGCCCCTGGGCTGGAGTTGCACACCAGCCTTGGCAAGCCAAGGTGGACTCCAACCCCCACAGACATCAGCACACGTCAGGGACATGGCCAACAGTTTTCACTGCTGCTCTCAGGTCAAAAATAAGCAGCAAGCACAGGCCACCAAGGCTGTATGCAGAGACCCAGCACTTGGCTGCATCGCAGCACCTCAACACAGTGGCCCTGGCTCCTGCCACACACAGCTCTGTGTTTGCCCTGGTATCTAGGGCAGGGTGAATGCTTGGCCAGCATGTACATCTGCAGGCCAAAGGGGTCCTTCCAGGGAACAGCCCTGCCAAACACAAATACCTACCAAAATCTTCTGCAGCTGGTCAACTGAATGGTTGCTCACACTCTGCCCATTGATTTCTATGATTTCATCACCCACGTGAAGGGAGCCTGCCAGCAATGGAAGAAACATGAAAACGCAGGACAGGACAAAGGCCACCCACCAAATCCAAACTTACAAAGCTCCACCAGCCTCCTGAGCCCCTGGGTAAGCTGTGGCCAGGACATTGCAGTGTTTGCCTGAGCAATGCCTATGGAGCTACACATGTCGCTTAAGCACATTCAACTAAAGCACAAGGGGGATGAACTGTCCCCCTCCCACCCAATACACAAGCTTCATCCAGTCTGAAGATCATCAGGTTTTCCCACTGTGTGTCCTTCAGCGATTCAGACTGGGCAAAGCACCCACTTCAGTTATTCAAACCCAACCCCAAGCACCTCACCTGAAGCCAGCCTCTTTATGACAGCCTCCTTACAGAGCCCTTAACACAATCATTCTTGACTTTGTGTTTTCAGTTTATGTACCCAGCCAGATTACAGCCTCAGATATACCACTATAAATCAAGTTCCAGCAGTATTATTGGACTGGCTCCTGTGTTGTTTTTGCAGGAATAAGCTCAGATTTCCCATTTGGATCCAGGGCTGGAAAAGGGGCCACTTCTTCTAAGCACAGGAGATTGCATTTCCATGTTCCCTTGGCAAGACCCAAAACCCAGAAAATAACACCTATTCATACTGGCATCCAAACCCTTCATTTCTCCCTAAAGCCTCCAGTGTATTAAGATGACAACCATGCAGTTGTCCATGCAGAGAACAGCGAGTCCTGAGTTCCCTATGTGTTCCTAGTGAACCTAGTGCATGGACACAGGTGTCTATGCCTCAAGGGAAAGCCAGCAGTGCTGGGGGACTGCCTTATCTCTGCATGGAGAGAAAGCAGCTGCAGGTGTATACCCCACACACTGCCTCTATGACAGCCTGGTTACCTTGTCTGTGAATCATGCCCCCATGGAAGATCCTGGCCACTGTGCAGCTCTGCTTGTCATTGATCTTCAGTGTGATTCCCTGGAAGACAGGAAAATCCATGACTGCTCACTGGAAAGGAGAGTTTCCATGCTCTCAGCAGAGTCCTCTCCAGGCCCATGTGCACAGTGGGCTGCACAGTGACTAGGGGAAAGCCCCCTGCTTGGCCAGCCCAGCCTGCTGAGGCTCCTCTTGGCATAAACATCACTACCCTTCAATGGGGCTTGCTCTGGGTCTCCAGGCAGCAGGATCCAGCACCTTCTTCCCATGGCCACCTCCAGTGATCTCCTGTTCCCCCCAAGGCTAGCCCCTCGCAAAGGTCTGTCTGCCCCTCTGCCCCCTGGGTGCTGCCAGGCTTCAGGACCTTGCCAGCTCTCACCATAGGCTCCTCCGTGACCTTCTCAAACTGGACAAGCCGTATCTTCCGCACCTCGCGGCCGCCGCTGTGGGAGGGACTGCCCAGAGCTGCTGAGCCATTGGTATAAATGTCCTCAGTCGTGGCGTTCAGGGACTGAGTGATGGCCTGTTGGAGCAAAGCAAAGACCAGGGTTTAGGGGCTCCAGCTGAACAGGGCCCGGGAGTGCCAGCTCTGTGCTGTGGGGCTGAGCTACTTCACTGTTAGGGTGCCCAGGGCACAGAGGGAGGGCAGACCCACACGCTGGAAGGGAGAAGAGTAAGAGCGAGAAAAGAAAAAGAGAAAAAGAGCTTCACCCTTGAAGATGTGGACCTGATCTGCAGTTTTCCAGACTGCAAAACACAGGAGGCAAGAAAAATTTAGAAAAGCTACAGGTAGCAGAAGCCAAAATTGTCCACAGCTGATATCTTCTGCAACAGCGAGCCCCAAACACTACTTGGGTGCTGCAGCAGCTCTTGGCCCACAGCTGGCTTGTTGCAGAGCATAAAGCCCAGGACAGCTCCACTGAGAGAACAGAGCAATTTGAAACTCATCCTTGAGTACTGGGGCCAGGCTCTGCTCTTGCTCAGTCTCCAAGTTCAGCCTTTCCTCATCATTGTTAATGGGCAGCTAACACGGCGCGCGGCTGTGTCCATCCAGGCACTGAAGCCAATGTGCTCTTGAGCCAACCAGAAACTCCCTGTTCCCCTCCCCCACTGCCAGCTACAGGCCAGTTTGGCCTGGCCAACACTGGGAAGCCAAGCAGAGGCTTTCAGACATGGGGAAATCTCTGTTCTTTGTTTCCAGCAGGTGCAGGCACTGAGGCAGGTATAGGAGTGCACAGGGTCCTGGGCAGAGACCTCCAAACTTGCTCTGCCATACAGCAGGGACACTGCAAAGTTAGCTGACACATCCCAGTCTGAGAAAGCCTGGCACAGTCACGTTAAATCACTCAGGCATGCTGGGCAACATCTCCAAACAGCCCACAGATGTGCCAGTTTGCTCCCAAACACAGCAGACTTCCCTTGAGCCTCTACCAATTTGGTGTTGGCCAAGCAAAACCAAGGCCAGATTTGATCTGCAGCCTCTGCCCACCTTGTTAGCATGCTCAAATCCCTGCACCAGCCCCTAAGGAAAGCAATCCCTCCCAGCTGCCCCACCCTACCCCAGGCTGCTTACTTTGATGGGCAGGTTACACCGAGCCTGGAGGGGAAAAGAGACTGCTGCCCCATGCCACCAAAGGTCAAGATCCAGTCAGGCTGTGAGGAGGTTTGTGCGGGTGCAGCTGGGGTGAAGAGCATTTGCTGAGAGGGTGCAGCCACGGCACCAAACCACAACAAAATTTGGTCTGGTTAGGGCCGTGCTAGAGTGCTGCTGGGCTGAGCCAGCAGCCCAGCCCTGTGCAATGACCCCAAGCAGAGAGGGAGCCAAAGGCAGGGGCCGCAGAGCCGGGACTAGCTGGGTCAGCGGGCGAGGTGCTGGCAGAGAGGGCCAGACCAGCAGCCTCAATGGAAGGGTGCTGGCAGGGCCAGGCTGGAGCAGAAAGGGCACAGGGAGCTGTGTGCCCACGCTGCAATGACAGTGAAGAGGTGTGATTTATTTTTAAGCCAACTACTTCTAAAAGAGCAAACCAACCTCCTCCTCAGAGGTAAAAGACAACTGCATGTGCTGCAGCTGCCAAGAGCTTAAACATGGAGGTGGAGGCCAAATCCCAGCTCAGAGCAGCAACTGGGCCAACGACTTGTGAGGTGGAAGGAAGAGTGACTTGCAGCCCCCCCCCAAGCTTGTGAGCCCCAGCAAGGCATGCTGCTACCGTGCCATTCTCAGGGAAGAGGGACATATCCAGGACTGCAGGTGCCTAGAGCCGGCCTATGGTTCTCTACTGGCTGTCCCAGCTCTGCTGAGCTAGCACATTGGAGGAGGAAGAGGAGGACAAGGAACTTCTCCAGCCTTGCCTTAGGTCAAAGTGCCCAGAAGGTGTTTTGAGTCAGCACAGATCACACTTATCTTAGTTGTGCCTTGGGAAAATGTTACAGTGTGCAATCCCAGGCTCCAAACCGCTAGGCTCAGCAAAGTCCAATGACCCAGGACACAGCACGGTCTGCTCCAGGAGCTGGGAGTTCTCACCCTCACCATTCCCACTATCCCTGCCAGCTGAGCCTCCCAGGCCTGACCTTTGCTTTTTTCTGAGAGCTGGAGAAAACACCCAGCCCTTGACACTGATGCAGCATCAGTGTCACCCTGGAGACTCCCAGAGAGCAAGCCTTGCCACCAGAGACTCACTGCTGTGCCTGGGGATGGCACCAGTCACTTGATGGCAGCTCTGAACCCAGCAGGGTCCTCTAGCCACTCCCTCTGACTGAAACAGAGCCACTCAGGATGGCAGGTGGGTGGGGATGGGAAAATGCCTGACTTACAAGGAGGACCAGGGAAAATGCCAGAGTCATAAAGAGGACCAGGACCCACAGGGTGGCAGATTCCAGCTCCGGTGCTGGGCAATCCAGAAGCTGGAGACAGATGTGCATGACCCATGCTCCATGTAAGTAAGTGAGCCAGCTGGCCAGATCACCTGCCCTGCACTCCTCTGGCAGCTGCTGCACTCTCAGCTGGACTGGCCCAGCGTAGCCTGTGACCTCAAGAGCCTTTCAAGTCCTGCTGGTGGCAGGCCTGACCCTGCTACTCATGTGCTACTCCGCAGGAAACATCTGCAAGGGCCACTACGAGCCAGCTCCATGGCCACCAGCCACTGATGGTCCTGCATAGCCCCTGGTTTGGTAACTGCTGGGGCCAGCCTCAGAGCAGACGTGGGGCAAGGAGGGTTGGGAGGCTGAACTGCGCAATAGGGCTGCTGGGCAAGGCCAAGCAGCATCACTGAGTGCAGCCCTACTGGCAGCTGACTGGTGAGGGTACAAATCCTCACGCACAAATCCTGCTCCAGGTGGCAATGCACAAAGAAGCCAAGAGTTCCACAGGTCAAAGAGGTGCACCTCAGCTCCCTGCCCACATTTTCTGTAAGACCCCAAATTTCTGCCCTGTATCCCAGGGCAGAGGGAAGGGCACCAGCTTCCCAGGCAGTGTTTGCCAACAGGGAATTTGACAAGTGTGGAGCAGTGCTCAGTGGGGACCCCAGGGCTTGGTGTCCTGTCCCCCAGCGGGGTCAGAGTCCTCTGCCAGCGTTGCTACTGCACTGGCTCAGCTGAGCTGCACGCCACCGGGCAAATCAAACATTAACTGGGCAGCTTGCTTGTAGAAGGCTGAAGCAGCACTTGGAGAAAGCTGACTGTAGTGCAAAGGGCATGTTCAGTGGTTTGGTTCTTGGGCTCTCCTTGCTGCTCTACCCAAGAGACATCAGTATCAGGTGGCCTTGGAAGAGCAGAGCTTTCTGGCAAGAACGTGGAGAAAGGTCAGGTGCTGTCAGCTTCGCCAAGTGGACCTCCAAAGTGCAGCAGTTTGGATGCAGAAGGGAACCCTGGAGCTGGGATCCCCTGGGTGTGTGCTAGGGAGGCTAGTGCACTTCATTACAGAAAAGTCTTGGCCCAGCAACCCCTCCTCCCACCCTCTAAGTACTTCAGCCTCACCTCCCCACCATCCAGCAGATGGGTGAATCACTCAGTACAGCTTAAAAAAATGAAACAATGTGCAAAAAGAGCAAACTAGCAAATGAAAAATATTGAGATTGGGAGCTGCTTTTGGGCTACTACAGCAGGCTGAAAAGCATCAGCCATGGGGGCACTTAAAAGTAAGTAATTCATCCCTGCCTTCTGCTAGGGTGCTACTGTCTTCTCAAGTCTGCCAGCAAAACCACAGAAGCAATCTCACCCAAGACCCCTTCCAGCAATATGTGTTTAACATGTTTAAAAAACAAACAAACGAAAAACCCCATTTAAACCAAACAGGATTAAATTGCTAGCACTGGGAAAAGCCCTGGCAACACCAGCAGGTCGCAGTGGGAAGGGGAACAGAGAAACAGGAGGGATATAAATTGCTGTGGAGGCCAGAAGATGCCACTGGGTCTGGGTCTGCATGCCCTTCCACTGACACCAGACCATGAAGTGCTGCAATGGAGAAGGGTGAGATTCTCAAGGAAGCACAGTCACTTTTGCTGAGGCATCATCTGCCCAGCAGAAAAGGCTGATGCAGCCTTTCAGATGTGTTTGTGAGACCGGTCACTTCCAAGGTGGAGTCAGTAAAACTACAACACCGACAGAAATCTCGATTTGCTGCCCAGCCTTGGGCAGCATCCCCACGTCCCAGAAAAAGCCCTGCAAAACAGCTTGCAGATGTTACACACTGCAACATGGGAAAATACATAGGAGACTAAAAAGTCAGAACCAGACCTCCCCACTTCATTTTGTTCAAGCCCAGAAGTTTTGCTCAGCTTCCAACCACTCATTTTGCCTGTGGTCATTTCAGGATTTGGTCCCTGGGGGCTGAGGCCTCAGTTTGCTTTGGAGCTGGCAGACCTGCCTGCTAGGAACCACTGCCCACAGGGAAGCACAGTGTCCCTTCTATACCCTCGGGCTCAGCTCTCCAGATGTACCCTCCTTTTCTCCACTGGTCTCCCAAAGGTCGCATTTGCTGCCCATTTTACAGCTGGGTAAGTGAGTCATGGCCGATAAGGGGACATGCCCAAGGTCACCCTGCCTACCAGGTGCACAGCTGGGAATAAAGCCCACATCTCTTTGGCCAGTTGAGATAAGGAAAAGATATGCAGGCATGTGGTGGAACTTAAGAGGGCAAATGGCTTTCTCCACTTCAGCTTGGTTTCTGGCAATGAAATGGCTTCCACTTGCTGACAGCTTGTGTGCCTTGCCATCACAGGAGGAATGCAGGACGGCACTTCCCAGTGCATGGCTCTGCTAGAGGAAATGGGGAAGAGAAACCTCTCAGCTGCCCTGTTTGACTCCAGCCAAGGAGTAGCCAGCAAGACTCAGAACCCCTCCCAAGAGCCGCTGCTGGGTCCCGTCCCTGCTGTACCACAGAGGGGCCCACAGCCACCGGGGCCAGCAGTGTCTCTTCATGCTCATGAGGGGGGTGAGCACTTGAGTGACTGGCAAGCTCAGGACACATAACCCCAGCTGGGTGCCAGCCCTACAGAGCTCCTCTTAAAAGGGCCCAGACAGATCCCG